CTAGGTATTCATCCTATGATGAAAGCACAAAAATGTTTGGGAAACTTACAAGCTTCGATACGTTGGGTTTGCTTAGAGAGCACGTTGAGACTGGTCAACGAGATATAACGAGAAACAATTACAAAATCAAGAGCGAGTGGTGCTGTTGTTAACGAAAATTGAAGACAACTTCAAGTCATTGCATCGCAGCAAGTTAAAACTGCCTGAACAAGATTGCCTAAATTCGGTAGTGAAGATTCAGATTAAGTTAACTTAATTTTCATTTAACAAAATACTGTAAAACAAAACAAAAAAAACAAAAATTAATAGCACTAACCTTGTCTTGAGTTTGATAAAGAGTAACTTTTCTTTTTTGAAAACTTACTTTCAAAAAAACAAAGTTGAAAATGACACACAAGAAATGCATATCAAATTTTTTACATTATTGCTAAAATAAGTATTAAAACCATATGCTAAATGGACGATAATTTTAAAATGTTGGTATAAAAACTTGGTGAGCAGATCGAGGGCGTGTAGCAAACACAGCGTGACTACAGGATGGTTTGCAATCAGGATCATTCTATTCCATGGAGAAAGCGACCACGAGCGACCGAGAGTGGGGGTAGGCGCATTAGCATACACCAGGCATACTCTACAAGAACTGCAGCTATTGGCGTGTGACTTCTTCAGATGTTGTACTGTTGTTGCAATCACAACCCAGTTGGGGATTGCTAACTTCAGCAGCTATTAATATCAGCCGTAACAAGCAAAGTTGGCATGCCTGAAAAGAAAAATGAGAATTTTTAACAAAAGAAGAATAAAGAATGATAAAACAAGAAGGAAAAATAGGTTGGGCATGTTTAATCTATGCTGTTTCCTTGTATTTTACTCTTTATATGTTTGATATGGCAATACCTGCACTGTGAGATCTTGGCAAAGCTTTGTTTACAATAAGAGCGTTTATTACACGACATTAGGGAATAAAATCACGAAAATAAAAACTATTGTCCTAAAATTTTTTAATTTGTTGCATTAAGGGTTAAAGCAAAGGAATAAAATATATTTAAACGATAATTCTTTTATGAATTGGTTGCCCAAAGCGATGACCCGCAAAAAAAAGAAGAACGACTGGTAGAGGTGCAAAGTTTTTAAACAGTGACGCGAACAGCTACAAATTATTTAGGACATGGTATAAGTACATAAACGTGCTAATCAATATTTTTTAATGTCAATCACAGACAATGAATATTTAATAATATGGTGAACATATATGAAAGGGGCCTTGAGTTAAAGCTTCAAATTAGGGATATTCTAATTTTTGAAAACATACGAAAACGGCTTTAGAAATAACAACAATCAAATAAATATTGAAACTAATGCAGTAAAATTTATATACGGACCCGCTTGTTTTTTATCTCAAATATATATCAAACACCGTAATAACTCAGTTATTATTATTATTATTATAAACTTAGCTAGAGAATAAATTCTAAGACTAAACTCTTAAAGCACTAGCATCTAAGGCTTTCGGCTTTATTAAAAACTCTACCGCACTTGAGATTTGACCCACGACCATTGAGTTGTTAGTAGAGACTCTTGCCTACTCGGCCACTCAGGCGGATATAACTCAATTAAAAACTATAATTAATTTACTTAATTCCAAATAAATATGCCCGTCAAAATATTTCCGATTTTCTCTAGTAATTGAATGAGTTATCGCTTTTCCGTAAACATTTAAATGAAAACTCCACTATGAATAATACCATTCATGAATAAAATCATCAATTGAGAAAATTTAACGCAATATAAAATGAGAGCAAACAAGAATGTTGTCATCATGAAGATACTTATGCATCAGCACCGATCATCTCTACCACAACTTTTTTGATCGCTATCATCATGAGAGTATTTCCCACCAGTAGCATGCAGACAGCGTTCTGGTGCTATTCTTATACGTGGTTTTTCCTTTTTTTCCGTATATCAAATTCCTAAAACTGTTATAGTTTGTTAACAGTACGTATATATAAACATATTTGGACCTTTTCTCTTATTATGTCAAGAAGAAATTATTCACATGAAGGGTTTTTAAATAAAACCTTTTTTTTTATAAATAGATTTTCTATATATAAATTATGTGTTTATAGGTACTCAAAATATCCTCATTTTTTAATTGAAAAAGGAGAGTAGGCTGTAGGGGTTTGAAGACTAAACTTTGGGGTCCTCCATATAAAATCATGGACCCAGAGAGGCCATAGGTAGGACAAGGTATAGAGAGATTCAGGAGATAAAATTAGCCCATCAGATTAGTACTTTTTTCTATCCGTCTGTTTTCATAAGGGATTTAGCACGTGTACTTCTTTTGTTTAATCGTCTGTAGGATATCTGTGGGATAAAAATAGAAACATGGGGGGTTACAACTAAACTAGCTAGCTTCTTAATGACCTACAACTTGTTGATCTATTTGACGTACATAATTTTACTTGTTACACACAAAAGGTTAAAGAGTCAAGAAAGTTTTATTTTGGAGCAAAATAAGGATTGTTTGTTTCCGGATTTCGCTTGGTATGGTCAGTGTACGACGAAACCTTTCTTGTGACTCGTGGAACGGCGTTCTTTCACTTTGTTAATCTAAAAGAGGAATGAGGTTTGCATTAGCAATTGTCACTATCGCACGGTCGATAAACGTGTCACAAGACGTCAGCAACATTGTTCAACTTTCCTTTCCGTTACTAGATGGTGAACTTGAATTGTTTTAATTCTAAAGCTCATCCAGCCAATCTCTCGGCTGGGTTCTACGTTCTATTAGGCTTCTTCCCTATACCCCATACCAACGCAAAACATCCTTCTTCTATCGTTGAATAATGTATTTCGGCTTTTTACAGACGTAAGCGATCTTCTTTTCTGCTTCTTCCCTAAAATAATTAAGTACAGTTCCTATGCCGTACTTGCTGTCGTCGGTTCCCAATATTAACTTCTTCGAGAAATCACGGCATGTTCATATTGGTGCTTGGATTAATTTCTGCTTTTTTAGCAAATTCGTCAATGGACTGGCGATATTCCCGAAGTTTGGTGTAAACCCCCTATACCAAGCCCCAATACCAAGGAATTGTGGTATCTCTCTTACGTTTTGTGGAACTTTTAAGATCGCAATGGTTTTATTTTTATCAGAACATATTTTAATACCTTTCACTTCTACAACGTGGTCTTTTTTGCAGGCGCAGCTAAAAAAAGGAAACCAATCAAATCGACTCCCAATAATACCCCACAAAAAATAAATGCCGCGCGAAAGATATAATGACTACTTTTTATGTACAACGATGCAAACGAGCGGTAAAATTTCAACAAATTTCTTTTTCAAAGATATTTCATCAGAAGCAGTCGCGTTTTAAGAGTTTTTAAAAATTCAAAATGGAAGGCGTGAACGTGTTGGACATGTCATTGGGTATATCATAATATTTTATTTTATTTATTTTACTTACTTTATTTCGTTTAATATATTTTTATACTTTTCAGACCAGTACATCGCGATGACGAAGATATTAAGGCGTGGCACCGTAGCTCAAAACCCACCGGTGCAAGTACATCAAACATAGGCACGAATACCTCTTCCGGACGTTCTTGTAGGCGTTCTCATTTTAGGAAGAGGCAAAATAACCAAAATTCGAATTGTTTGCGAACCAACAGAGCAAACGTAGGAGAACGAGACGTAGACGATGGAATCGTACAGGGAATAGGAAAATAAACGTTTCTTACTAGGATTGAAACGGAGACAAATAAAATATTATTGAAAATTAACAGAGAATACATGAAAAAATAAGAAAAATATAAGTGTGTATACAACGTACACATTGAACTTAGTATTAGATTATATGATTTTTTTATACATATATATACCTCAATGCATGTAGAGTTCTATAAAAGTTTCTATATCTCTTCCTATATCTTTCTATATCTTGTTTTTGTGATTTTTATACCTCATCAACCAAAATCAGCAGAATTTTTATATGAAAAACTGCTAGGAAGTTGTATACCAACCAAAATCAGTAGGGGAGGTCCTCCGCTGCTCATATACAAAAAAAAAAAATAATAATACGCGCAGAAAAGCAATTACATGAAAACCATATTTGGGGTAGCTCTAGCTCGAAATAAGGATCGCGAATTTCCAAATAAAGAGCCCTTTCAAGAAGTGTATTAAAAATTTCGATACGCTTTTGATATTATTTGTGGTAATTGGACTGATCATACTGTGTATTCTCTTTCAACTACTTGTCCAGTTAAAAAAAGGATGGACAGTGGTGTTGTAACATTATATCCTCCATTACCCACTACTAATAAAAAACTTGCATTTACCATTTTGTACGCACGCCAGCGCCACCAGTTATGTCGACCGACTTGAATTGTACGAAAGAGATTTGAATGCAGATGATGTTGTAGGCGCTGCTTTTGTTATTGTTTTAAAATGTTGTTACTCAACTAGGTTCAATGATGAGAATTTTTTTATTCGTTTTAGTCTACGTGCATTTTCAATTACTTCCATAGATGTTATTTTTTTAAGGTTCTTTATATGCAATGTTGAAGTTACCGGCTCGTAAGCCATTTTGATGATTTATATCGGCATCGAAAATATTTACTCTTTTTATGCAAACTTAATTAAAGTGACGTAAAAATTAATAAAATGATTTTTATTCGTGATATCATTAAAGGTTGTGTGCTTTCTTGAAAGCTTCAAATTACAAAATTAATTAAAATGAAATTGTGTGATAACATATTGCAAATAAAAAAAAAAATGTGACTTCAACTTATTTTAATCGCATTAGCTTCGGAAAATGAAAAAACTTATTTAATCCCTGTTTTCCGCAACATAAAATTATCGAATAAGTAGTAAAATAACATTTAAAATTAGACGTGAAAAAAAACATCATTAAGCACAAACAAAATTGAACGAATTCCAAGATGAAAATAAATAACACGCGAAAAAACACACTTTTTACATAAATAAAATGGATCAGCCGAAACGAAAAGGCGAAAATAAGGAACACAAGAACAAACAAAAAAATATAACACTGCCGTACATGAACTGCCACTAACTGTCACGAATGAAATGGACGGAAATGCAGAAAGCAAACGCAGCGAACAAAGAGCACGACGCGTAACATAGAAATAAGTAAGACTTCAATTATTTTGCTGGAGAAATGTCGTGCAAAAAGAAAAAAACTACTTCAATGTACAATTTGCTTTAAATTTAGTCATCTTAAATAAGAAACGCTAACTATTGATTAAAATATTTTAAACACGAAATACTTTTATTTAACACTAAATCTAGGCTTAGTCCATTTCAATTCAACATACCAAAAAAAAAAAAAAAAAAATGTAACACTAATTTTTCTCCATTCAGAATTTCGCGAAGTTTGTTATGTTTTTAAGTACTTAGATTTTTTTTTATAGCACCTATTATTAACAGCTTTCTTTCAACTTATTTATTACAATTTTCAAAGTTTTAATTCAATTTTTATTAATTTTTAACAAAATCCACTTTTCCGTACGGCAGCCTTTAATCAGCACAACAACCTACTAACTTACTAACCGACTGATATCGTACGTGATAGTAATTATCATTGTTTGACGATTACCCTTTCATTAACTTCACGTATTCAAAAGTCTCTCTCATATCTAACAAATTACGCGACAGCAAAATAGCTCACTTTTTGCGTCAGTGTCAGTTATTCTGCGGGGTAATCATGAAAGCAAGCCAAAATTGCAAAGAGAATTGCCAAATATTGGCAAATTTTCTGGCGATTGTCGACAGAGCTCTCTCAGTTACGTCAAATTCGGCGACAAAAAATTGCTGTCGCTGAGAACAAATTTGCATAAGTATTGAATATATATCCAGCAAAGTTACCGCAAATCTTGTTTAAAGTTTCGCTTGTAAAAAAATAGCTGCAAAAGAAAAATATAAACACCTGTTAGAAAATGAATTGTTATTTCAAAATATAAAAAAAAATTAAAAAAAAATATGGAGTGCCCGAAATTACTTTTGCGAATTATGAAAAACAATTTAATTTAAATATCGTGCTTAATTAAACAATGTTGACCAATGTGTACATTTCCAGCACAATGTATCGTAACTACTTTTTATGCTCGTTCATTGAAGAGGAGAACAATGACAACCGCCAGCCATGAGAAGGGCAAAAAAGGCTTTGCATGTTTCCGACTTCCTAGCGTTACCTCGAAACGAATAAAACGCTTCTTTATTTTTTAAGGTTGCTTATGAATTTTAATAGATCATTGTAAGCGATATAATAAACTAAACAATAAAGATTAACAAATTTGCAAAAGAATTTAAAAACAATCCAAACTTTTTAAAGAGCACGCCTACACATCCCTGTATGGCAAAAGTTTTTCAGCATCTTTGTTTTGTGTGTTCTTTGCTTTTTACTCATAAATTGTAACACATGCAACATATAAATTTCCACTTTTATTTTAAGAATAGAAACAATCAATCGTGCCCACTCGACACTATATAGTAGGAAAATTTAATTCTTTTGCTTCTATTTATGATCACGGTGATGGATTCGGTCGTGGCCGAATATGATTTTCTAACTTGTTATTTATTTGCGGCTATCAAAAGTTTAAAAGTAATTAGCTAACTTTTATCTCAAATTAAATTAACTAAAATGTGTACACAAATTTTAAGTTTAGAGTAATAAACGTGGATGTATGTAAATTTTAACAAATTAAATTACAAATACAATTTTTAAAAAAGCCAATAAACTGATAGCCATAGCTACGGTGAGTGCTCTTATACCAACCAAAGCAGCAATAAGTAAACCATAAATGGAGTGACAACGTTATTTCCTTTTATTTTCTTAAACTCCTACTGTCTCTGCTCGTACAACGCATTAAGGATTCGTCCAAGATGGTGTTTTTTTTTTTGACAATTTACTGCTTTATGCATTTCTCCATCTCAGAAATGGAATTGGATTTCCTTGAAACCAAACTCTCCAATGAATTTGCGGTCTTTAGTCCCAAAGAAGACATAAATATGCAGTCATTTAATAAAGTTCCCTTAATTCTTGTTCGCAGGAAGAATTATTAAGCGTTTAATTATGAAAAAAATAATTGGCAAAGCACACACGATATATGTACATTAAAACATTAAAAATTTATTATTATTCATTAATAGAATTGCCATCGAAGTAATAAGTGCATTTTTATTTTATAAACTTATGAATAATAAAACTCTCTATGTATATATATAAGCTCTCTATATATAAATTTGCAAACTACATATAAATACTAAGCAGCCGATCAGTTTCTTTTTCTTTAAAATTTGTCTTTTTTTTATAAACGTAACTCTAAGCGAAATTATCGCGGCAACTGTTTATGTAGACATGAAACTCTAGACTAAATTTGCTCAAAATGGTAGCTATTGTGCTTTCGTCTAACTTGACAGCAATGAGAGAGGATATTTTATAACTGCAGTATATAGGTAATCCAAAAAGAACAAATTACAGAAAGTCATCCAACAACAGTGGATGTTATCCGATAGATTTTTAATAATTAGCTGGAAAAGAAAGTTAACTTTCCTATATGTAATCAGTGCCCAACGTTATATAAATTACAACAAAATTATACAAAAATAGGTAACGACAAAATTATATAAAATTTGTGGATAATAAAATGAAATAAAGTGAGATAATAACAAGCCAATGGTGATAATGTACAGGCGCAAACGTCAGCTGATTTTTTTTTCTTTTGTTAAAAGTAATAATTAAACGTAAATTAATTATCAGTAAAATTCAATGATAAATTTTCATAAATGAATTTCAAAGTTTTTACATATTTTTAACGTATAGTAGACTTATGTTGGACATAATTCATGTTCAAATCTTCTGGCGCAACCAAGTTTTCAATCCAAGAAGAAGACAACATTACATGAATATATATATATTTTCTTCATATATATATATATGTATATACTTTAATCTCTGATGATTATTGGGGGTAAAACGGATTTTCGTTGCATTAAAAAGGAAAGTGAAATGTTTGCACAAGTAAGCTACGACTAAATACAGCAGCAAGCGGCAGCTGCGAGTTGTTTTGTCTGAAAAGGCTATATTTTATAGCCGAGCAATTGTTCAAAATTGCTAATATTGATAATAAAAAACTAAAATCTGTATCATTCTTATCCTTTAAAAAAATTGCAGTTTAATATCTCAGGTAATAAAATGGTATTAAAGTGCGTCCGAAAAAAATGGGTTTCCCCCATATGGGGCAATCAATCACAACATGCAGCTTATTTGAGCTTAAAGGTTTTAAAATTAGAACGTTAAAGTATCGAAAAAAGCAAAGTGGAAATTATCTTTAGCCTTTATTTGAAGACGACTCAACTAATCAGTTTCTCCTTCTGGCTTCTATTGCATCAATCAATCGTCGTTAATAACAATGCAACATAAGTAAACGTGAACTTTTATGATAATGTCGATGACAGCTACAATTTATAAATATTGTGTTTAAACTTAGTCAAACGACAATAATCGCTGCGCAAACTTTTTTCCCAAAATTGAAAAAATTATATTGCATCGTAAGGATCAATTATTAAAACGAATTGTGTTTATTTGTAGCAAAGCATTCACAAAAATTTTGTAACTTCGCAGAATTGAGTATTCAGTATAAACTTATAATTGCAGTAATAATTTACTTAGTGAACTTTCAAAAGTAATCTCAACTTCCTTCTTCCATACTTTGGTTCAAACATCGAGAGTGTTAAGAAGTACCAAAAAAGAACATATTAGAGATAGCAAATAATCCACTTACAGATTTTAATTTATCGATTTTTTTATTTTTATGGTGAACAACATATTGAACAATGTTCCCACTTCTTAATTCAAGTGATCTGGCACGACCTAAAAAAAATCTTTATGTTGTCCTTAGGCCGCTCTACAATTGAATATGTATATTCAACTGCAAGTAATTGCACCGGGTGCATTATCCAAAAAATCAAAGCTTTCAAAAAGAACCATTTAGGACCATGTGCGGGCCTCATCTACTCGCTGCCCATTCTAAAAGCTGTCGCCAAAGAGCTTTGACCTAACAGTCACGGATCTGATAAACCTTTTAGCTGTTCGACCTGTCCTCTATCGAAATATAGCGTATATTAGTGAAGAGAACTCATGCAGTTGCACATCTTGCTGCCAAAGATTCTGTGAGATTTTCGACAAAAGAGAATTCCATTCCCATGTGAGACTCATTAGACAACATTATCGTAGATCTTAATATTTAATACATATCGCTATTGCTAAGGGGAGTATTCGTTTCGCTCTTTTTAAAACTCTGCGTTGTAATAAACTCGAATACTATCATAGCAATTGCGTTCAAATATATACCATTGATAGTTCAGTAGGAAACAATTTAGATGTTTGCGGAAATTTTGACCATTTTTCAAATTGAAAAAGACATTTACTGAGAAAATTTAGTACAGTGTGTATGAATTGAAATGCTTTCTATAATTTTCTACAACATTTTACCATATTTCTAACAACATGCCTGTATCGTATCAAAAGAATTTATATCCGTTTGGCAGCGATCCAACCACAGACAAATTTTCGCTCTTGTTCAACTTTGCAGAGCCGCGTGTCAGACGAGCCATTCTGCATCGATCTGAACAAGTGGTAGTTAGAAGACGCTATGTCTTGGGAGTACACTGGGTGTGGCACACCTTCCCACTGGAGCTCTTCATTACGTTAATTGTGGTAATTGATCTGTTTGCACCAACGATTGTTCCGATACCAATCGGCTTGAGTGTGCATCTCTCACTCATGTCACTTTGAGCAAAATATGATCACAGAACATGACCGCGTCCAACGATTATATAAAATTTGCAATTTTTTTTGAGATTTGATTAGCACGCTTTCAACTTGAAAAAAGGAACCCATCAATTGGTATATGTTTGGGGAAAGCTCAACATGTTGGCGAAATCCTCGCTTTTAAATATCCTCAGGAAGAGGCTGCGCGCACCGTTCATAAAATTATTTTGGGAAACTTTGTATAATGCAATGCAGTTCGTTTATTTTACAAAATTCTCCGACTTATATAATAAACCCCGGTTAAAAATGGACCGCCTGTATAGACACTAAGAACGCACGAAACACAATGCTATTTGTGAATGAACCGGTTCCAATTTCGAAAAGTCGTTACATAACTGTATTAGAGGAATTGATGTAGGGTATTTAATGGTAGGCCATGGCCTACTCTACGTTTTCTTTTTATATATTTATGAAACTAATTGTACTCCTTTAACTTTGTATCGATTTATTCAAAGCTTGCTATGGCATTCTTGGATCTCTATCCGGAATAAACGGCAAAACACCCGACTACGCTCACTTTGATCCCATGCCCATTCTTCATTACTTGGATGAATTTGATGAAATTAATCTACCTACTTACTGGAGTCCTAGCTTGCTGAAGTTTCTACCACCGATGCAACTTGCCGGTCACCTTCAACTATTCTTTTTCGTCTAATTGAACGACCTCTTTAAAAGTTATTGGACTTACAGATCGCAAAAGCTGAGACCACTGAAAACACCTAAAATAAAGTGAAATGTAATTTTCAATATTGTATATTTGTTAAAATTCATTTATGTAATCGGCAGTTATGATTATAGGTCAACTTCAAAACAACAAATGGAGATAATGCTGAGTTTCATCGAAGAAAACCCGGAGATGGCTCAAAATTACAACGAATGTACTGCCCAAGATCGACAAAATATAAATGAGTTGTGGGATGAGCTACGAACGGAGCTAAATTCACTCGGTTATCCGAATAAAAGTACATCGGGATGGCGAAAAGCAAGTTGAAAAAATTAGGTTAGCTTCTTATTTACATTTATTTTATTAGCGCCTTTTTTTTTTTTAGGTGTGGGCAGATCACAAATATAGGGAAAAAAAGAGATTGAGTAGCAACAGAATCTCGATACAAAAAAGTGGAGAAGAGATGAGCGAGGAGTTGCTGCTAACAGCAGCAGAAGAAAGAATTGTTGAGTTGGAAAATCTCGAGACGACCATCGATGGTGATTCAATTAAAATATTTAGAGACGATCCTTTGCTGTCCACAAGTATAACAGTGCAGTGAGTGCAATTATAATGCAGAATTTTTCGTTTATTTTGTAATTGTTTTATATACATCTAGAAGCCCCATTACGGTAGAATGCTTGGAGGAAGACAATATTCCAACGTAATTGTCAATTTTTTTTGTTTATTTATATAAATTCATTTAAGTAATCGACAATTATGATTATAGGTCAACTTCAAAAGAACAAATGGATATAATGCTGAGTTTCATTGCAAATAATCCGGAAATGGCTCGCAATTTCAACCAATGTACTGCCCAAGAGCGTCAAAAAATTAATAAACTGTGGGAAGAGTTAAGGACGGAGCTAAATTCAATGGGTTTGCCGAACAGAACTACAACGGGATGGCGAAAAGCAAGTTTAGAGAAATTTTATGTACATTTATTTTACTTATATCTTTCCTTTTAGGTTTGGGCAGATCGAAAGTACAAGACAAAAAAAAAATTGAACATCAACAGAAGGTCCCTTCAAAAAAGCGGTGGAGAGCCAAGCGAGGAGGTGACATTGACAGCCGATGAAGAGATGATTGTTGAGTTGGCAAACTTAGACTCAGCTATCGATAACGAACCAAATAAAAACTTTGAAGACGATACATTGTCGTCCAGAAGCGAATCACCCCGGTGAATGAAATTATAATGTACAGTTTTGGTTTATTTGCTAATTCTTTTGTATACCTTTAGAAGCCCTAATATGACAGATTCCTCCCCCGAGGACGACAATCAAACCCCTACAACTAATAAGCGAAAGTAAGCGCACATTATTAATTTTTATTTGTATTATGATTAATTATTCTTTCTCAGGCGTTCCTCGCAAAATGACAACGCGGAAAAGACAAATTCACGCTCCGATATCTTGGACTTGCTTCGTGAGCACGTTAAGGGTGAACGAGAATACAAGAAGAAAAAATTGCGATACCAAGAGAAAATAGTGCAATTGATGAGGGAGGGTAACGAGGAGGAGAGGTCATTTCACTCAAGCATGTTAAAACTGTTCAAGGAAAAGAACGGCCTTCTTCGACAAATCCCACGTGAATTCGAAAGTGAAGAGGACTAAGACATAGTTTCATTTTTTTCCTTTTTGCATACATTGATTTAAAATTTGAACTTTACATTTTGTGTCCTTATATTTTTATATCTCTATAAGTAAATAAAAATATGAGTTTCGAATGTAATTTCCAAACTGTATCGTTTCTTATTCGTTCACTTATTCACCGCAATTACGAATGTCTTTACTGAAATGTTCACCACATCATACAAACAAATAACGCGTGCTAAAGTACTTAAACATCGTTTCCAAAATTTCTGTTTGAATTTCTGAAATGAAGCTCGATTTCTATGGAAGTGTGAGAAATAAGGTCCGATTTCTGTGAAAGTGTGAGAAATAAGATCCGATTTATGTTAAAAAGTGAGAAATGATTTTTTTCATTACCAGATAGCTTTTCTTTTGAGCGCTCGCCAACTTCAGCAAACAAGGAATTGCCTTTGCGATCTAAGCATAGGGAAATTAAATTTAAATAAATGCAATAAATATAAATTACCATCGCTTTCCGGCATTCTTGTCATCATCACAAGACTAGCGTACTTTCAAGCATTGGCAGTACATTTTCTTCTAAATCTGCCAGTTTCGATTTCAAATTTTCCTCTAAATAATTGGCTTGATCTCGTAGAATTTTAATGTTCTTCTCATGTTCGGCTATTGCTATGAAGTGCTGCAGAACTATTTGGGAATCTTTCCGTTTTTCTTCGACCGTATATGCTCTCAGGCTCTCTTAGGCATTTAGGGTGCCGCGCTACGTAGATAAGGCTCACCGTGAATACCAATTTCTCAGCCTGAATCTTAATAAAGCGATGGCGTCCGCCGCACACATATGTTCTTTTATGAAATGTAGTTTTCCCCCGTTTTTTCCTTCATTTTATATTATATTGATATGGTCACCTTACAATTTTTCCTTTTTAATTTTACTATTCTTAATGAAGTCAACGACTAATTTTGTATATAGAGTTTTTGTTGAATTATATTTCATTTTTTCTCTTTGTGCCTTCGTTATTTTATATATATAGATATATTTGTCTGATGACAGCAAGTACTCATGTGCTACTACCACTGGCTACTTGATCAATTCACAAAAATTGGAAGATAAAGATTCGTTTATTTATTTCATATATTTTATTAGATCAAAGACCACGCATTAATCTATACATCGAAATGCCTTTAAATAAAGCTAGGTCAGCGCTTGGGACCATTAATTTACAAAAGAGTTATACGTGAGCGACCAGTTCTCAAGCATGCCTCTGTTGTTTGGCCTGCTTTCTATAGATGCTATGTGGATTCAATACAATCTTTTCAAAACCAATTTCTGTTTTTTGGCTCAAAAATTTTGGCTTGGGATTCGCCTGTCTTTATACCTCCTCATGAAAACAGAATGCTTTTGTTAGCGTTACCTCCATTTCACACAGGCGCATTTATCCTTGGCGTTTCCTTTTTAACTACATTAATAAATACTACTGTCGATTCGCCAACACTACTTGGTAAGATAAACTTCAATATCCAGAAGTGTTTCTCTACCAACATTTTTTCATAAAACTTAGTGAATACAGACAACCTTGCGAGATTTTCAGTGCATTTAGAATCTTCGGTAAAAACCTAAAGGATATCAATTATTTAATCTCTATGTCGCACTCTTTGAATTTTGTCAAAGCAACCCTCCTTAATATGCGAGAAGCGCCTATGTTGTATATAAATTAGCTTTCAGTATTGATATCTTCGCAAGATTCGAAAGTCGGATTATATTTTTTCTTTATTATCGGTTGCCAAGCTTTTACATGTTTGCAACGGCTTGAGAATAGACTGCCCGACTCGCTAGAAATGGTTCAGATCAATGGAGTCATATTTAGCAGATCAGCAGCTTATAAAAGTGGTGCGAAAATGTGCGAAAATTGATGACTATTTCGCCTCGAAATGACGAAGTTTTCACTGCGTGAGTATTTACAAGTGCCGATACTCGGTTGTTCGCAAAAAGGCTATAAATAATGATGATGAATATTCCCATTATAAAATTTTATAAGAAGTATATTTCAAACAAAGCTGAATTGAAGAGATCGCTTTGTAATTCATCAAATTTCGGAAGCAGCGAGCGATAATGAAGACCACATATACTCAATCTGTAATCTAAGATGTAGAATGACGAATCATGTTATATTCGGACAAGCAAATAGATGATGACCAGGAGATTGCAAAGCTGACTTGATTTATAATTTTTTTTTATATTTATATATTTTTTATATTTATAATTTCCAGATTTGGTCTGTTCGTTTGTACTCTGCCCAAATAAAACCTAATATTAGGTTGCCTAAATACTTTCTAAATAGTTTTTACTAATTCTATATCTCCACTTTTCGTTATTCCCAGAAATATTTCCGTTAATTCTATAGAGTACTGACTCAATGAGACGTTATTTCCGTTAGCTAAAGACGCAACCCGGATTTGCAGGCATTTTGCCCAACTTTATCATAATCGACAAGCCATATGTTTTTGCATGTATACATACAAATAAAACAAACAAAAAAAGAGCAATAAGATATAATGATCGTTTCTTTTAAATTTTAAAGTTATATCTAATTTATGTTTTCTAAGTCTAATTTATGTTTACGATATATTAATGTAAATTTTTTTACATTATGTAATTTGCAACCCTGCTTCATATCAAGCCTTAAGGTGTATTTTTTTTTTTTTGTCTTATTTTGATCTATTTTGTAAGAAATGACAAACAAGCAATAATATCGATCCATTTTTAAAGTTAAAATATATTCATCAAATTGTTATATTCTAATGGCTGCGCGGATACATTAGCTCAAGCGATGCCGCAAAGCCACCGTCACCATTATATATTTCAAAAATTGGCCATACCCAAAATCTTCTCATTTATTCAAATTTTTTATCTAATCAATCTTCTTTGTCGCTAGTTAATAAACAGGCTTGTTTACTTTTACATTAAATTCTCCATTCTTATTTTTTATAAATTTGTTGTTTGCGTTGATTTCCCTATTTTTGGTTCTAAAACCATATGTTGTTGTTGACACTTTCCTATAAAATGATATAGTAGCATGGCTGCTCATTGTGCTTACCACTTGGGAGTTTTTAACACGTATATTAAGGTAACGTCTATTCAATATACACATTATTGCACACAGATGTTCATAGTGCTTAGTCTTATATATACTTGTTGTATAAAGGTGTTCGTTGTTAATATAATATCATAGCATAGTAATATTGCTGCGCAAATGTTGCTGGCGAAGTGTCTTGTCTTACATATATAATGTTTTTGTTGTGAGTGAACTGTAACAACAAATTCCAGGATCAGCTGGTTCATAAAGTGCAGTTTATTTCGAAAGCTATTGTGGTTTAGTAAAATGATCCATTGTGTCTATAATGAATCAAAGTCGAGTTGGCAGCAATCGCCGTATTTTCGACGTTATTTGCGATAAAACCAAGAGACAATTTCAGGAAGATTCCTAAAGATATTTGAAGATCTGAGCAAGGCTTTCGACGGATGCAAATGCGGCAACTGTGTTAACAATGGATAGTAATAATGCTTCTGAGGCAGGAAAATTCGCTGTAACTAGGCAGCAATGTTACTTTTATATACCTCCGGCGTCTAATTCCAGTACTTACTTCCAACTTATTCGCTTGGTGTTCTTAAAAATGAATTCTGCTGACACGTCTCTAGTGTTGGGGGATTTTAATTTACCCGATTTTTTCTGGAACATCAATGTTAGGCGTGGCTATTTTGAACCTGTATTCGTGCTACGCTTCAATGGAACATGTGCGGAATTCCTTTAATAAGCTTTTGGTCTTCGTCTTTTGTAATGTGACGAATTTGTTCATTCTTCATATCTCCTCATTTATCATTCAATAGAATGTATCTCAAATAACTATGCTGACCTTGATAAAATGTTCTGGTGAAAGTTTTAACTCACCTCCAGGGTTCACCAGGAACGCTGATTTGTCTGCCAAAAGAAAAAAATAATTTAGGTCAGATTTGATAATGCGTTATCTATGGTGTCTTGGGATTTTGATTGTGATGACTTCGAAAGTAGTCTGGCAGTCACTTATTCGATTTTTCACTTCGCTATATCACTCCTGTTAAGCCCTACTTTGTTAGGCAACTTTCTCGAAAAAGCTGAGAGTAGTACGTAAAAAAGGAACAGGCTTTTTAAAAAATACAAAAAGGTATGTCACTGGGCGACTTGGCCAATTATATCAGAGTAAGAAACATGTTTAATACTTTGAGCAAGTATTGTTACGATGCTTACTTCAATGAAATTATGACACTCGTGTCAGATCGATTTCGAAATGCTTCTTTAAATTTATTAGTTCGAACCGTCAAGTGCTCGGATTTCCTACGCTTATATATTTTAATAATAATGCATCTTTCATTTCCAATTGATAGATGTTTGCTAATTTGTCCGAATTATCTTATGCTTCATTGAGTAACGCTAATCACTGTGACTATATACCATTTAAAATCGTCTCAGATTTCTTCTAATGCTACCTTTACTTGTAGAGAAGTCTTCAATGCCGTAGCCGCTTTAAAGACATCTTTTTAACCTGGTCCGTATCTTTAGATTTTGTGCTAATATTCTTCATATTCTTTTAACTTTCTTATTTAATCGTTGTGTAGGGAAAGAACTTTTCTAAGTTATTATTCCATTCCCACCTAATTAGAATTGCCTTAAGCTTTTAAATATACCTACTTTCAAAAGTGGACACTAAGGTGAATAGGATTTGATTAATTGCTATTAAATTGTTCTCTACGTTATGCGTTGGAATACGACGTTACGAAATTTCTTTTGTTTTAATAAATAATAATAATTGTAATAAAAGGTGGATTTATTTCAAATCCTTCTGGATGTTGATCCGAATCATATTCAATAGTGTTCGTGCTCGGTCTAAAAATCGTCAGTGTACCAAATTCCATCGAAATATTACAAAAATTTCAAAGTAGGTTAAACGCAAAGATACACAGACAGACAAGCTTAAATCGATTTAGAAAATGAATGCGAACCGACTGTCACAACCGTCCGCACAAACGTAATGCAGCCTGTACTTCAATATTTTTTGTGTACAAACGTTACAAATTTATTGCTTTCACTTAATAGAATTGGCATCGAAATAAGGATTGCGCTTTTATTTTACAAATTTGTCTGAAAAATATAGCGTTTCCTGCGAACGAATCCGATTTTTTGTGAATAATTGTTCGCGCTCTGCACTAATTTGCATATTATATATTAACACTAAGTAGACGACCAATTACTTTTGTTTTTCTTTTGCAAACTTTCACTTTTTTCTTTGAAAACGCAACTCTAAAAGATAAGTTCTGGCAACTCTTAACGTAAATAAATCCTAAGCAAATTTGCTCAAAAACGTAGCTATTTTGCTTTCGTCCAATTTATTAGAAATGAGAGAGGGTAGTTCACAGCTGTTATGCGTAGGTAATGCAAAAATAACGAAAGTTATCGAAAAATAGTGGATGCGAACATAAAATTAGCCGAAAAGCGAACAAGAAAGCTAACAATTTCACACATAACTAATATCGAGAAATAAGAGGAAAACTAAACGTTTGTTTGTTTAACAATCAACATCATATAAACTACAACAAAATTACATAAAAATAGATAAAAGTAATATTATGTAAAATTCGTGCGTAATAAAATAAAGAGATATAACGAAACGTGATAGTGTACAGACGCCAACCTCAGCTGTTTTTTTTCTTTTGTTAAAAACAACAATTGAAGCGTAAAATAATTACCAGTAAAAATAAAAGCAAAAATTTTCGCAAAGCAACTTCAAAGTTGTTACACATTTTAATCACATAATAAACATATTTCCGGCGCCACAAACGGTTAACCACATAAACTGTAACAAAAAGCCATCTGTTATGGCTAAATAATTATTAAAAATCGCTGATAGTGATATTAAGGAACTAAAATCTATGTCATTGTTGCGTTTTCTTTATGAAAAGAAATTACAGTTCCATATCACAGGTAATATTATTATTATTGCTTATGAGTTAAAACGGCCTTGGGCAATTTATCTGAACTCCACGATTTTAAGACTATGAGCACGTAAACGCGGCGAAAAGATTAATGCGCGACGAAAATGGTCTCTGTCTAAAGACGACCAAATTAAACACAGTTTATCTGTCTCGTCGGCGCATCCCAAACTATAAAAATAACTATGAATGATCTGGCTTCAATCAACAATTTGCCATTAGGTAACAGAAATGCAGAACAAGTAGACGCGAGTTTTTGCTATAACAACGTGCTTGATGACAGCTATGTTTTTGCTGAGGAGCGTTTGCTTAAATAACGGCAATCACTGTATAATGATATCCGTTCGCAAGCTTCCTCACGAAAGTTGAAGAAATTATATAATTTCAGCAATCATTTACGGTTATTGGGACGAAGTTTTAAGACCAATTTTAACTTCTTTCTTTTTGCTTGTTTACTTTCCAAAACCAGCAAGAATCAAAAAATGTAACGAAGAAAATTAGAGAAAATCAATAATCTAGTTAGGGATTTTAATTTATCGATTATTTTAGTTGCATAACGATGAACGTAAAGGTCTTGCTTTCTACGACCATCAAGAGAATTTTAGTTAAAAGTAATGAAAACCGCCAACGATGTTAAGGGATAACTACATTTGTCTCTACTACTAGAAAAGCATTGCATATTCTTTTATGATAAGGTTTGCATATCATCATCAAGGCTATAAGACAACGCTCTACATGTATCACATTTGGATGTATTGTCAAATTTTGTAACGGCAGGAAACTCATTTCCAATTGATCGGTTTGCATAAACTAATGTCATGATACCAAGCGGCTGAAGTGTGCATCTCCCACTCACGGCACATTTGAGCAAAATATGTCCACAGAACATCCCCCCTTTCAATACTTGTACAAAATTTTGCAAACTTTTTTGAGAGTAGAGTAGCATTGCTTTCAATTAAAAAAAGGCACCTACCAATTAATATATGTTTGAGGAAAGCTCAACTTAATGCCGATATTCTCCCTTTTAAAAATCCTCCACACGAGGCTTCGCGCACCATTCATAACTCTATTTCGAAAAAATTGGATTAATACGCGCCCAAACTTTGGAAGCAGAATATTTTACAAAATTCGTGCACCCATGTCCTCAACTTCACTTCCCTTTTCTTCATCCAAGAAAATTTAACTGCGCCGCATACTCATTATCAGTTTTTAACAGGTGATAATGATTTATGCAATGTTTGTTTGACAACGGAATCAGACGAGCACCTTATTTTCAGGTGCAAAGAATTTGAAAACATCCGAACTAGATTTATGCGCTTGACATTGGGCAGTCTCACAGCTGTTCTCATCCTAAGAACTGCCGATTTTCCATTGCAATCAATAATAAGGTTTTTCTTTTGTCTATTTTTTTCTCTCTTTTTGTATATTCAGCCAAAGCTTACTACTATTTCTCTGAATCCCAATCTCGAATGAAGGGTACAAAAGTTGACTAAGCTCACTTTGCTCCTATGCCTGGTCCTCATCATTTACAAGGAATCGATGAAATTAATCTATCCGCTTATTGGAGACTTGGACTGGTGCAGTTACCGTCATCAGTGCTACTTGCCAATCACCTTTAATTGCTATTTTTCGTTTAATTGAACGATCTCTTCAGAAATTTGCTGGACATACATAGGCCACGCTTCAATCGCTCAAAACTCGAAGAAATAGTGAAACAATGTGATTTTTGAATACTATTGTTTTTTTGTATAAATTCATTCAAGTAATGGGCAGTTGTAATTACAGGTCAACTTCAAAAAAACAAATGGGGCTAATGTTGGGTTTCATCGCAGACCACCCGGAAATGGCGAAAAATTACAACGAATGTACAGCGCAAAAACGTGAACATCTGAATAGATTGTGGGACGAGCTAACTACAGATCTAAATTCACTCGGTTTGCCGAACAAAAGTTTAGCGGGGTGGCGAAAAGCAAGTTTAGCAAAATTATTTTAATATCTTATTTATTTTATTAACGCCTCTTTAGGTTTGGGCAGATCACAAATACAAAGCAAAAAAAAAGTTGAGGAGCAAGAGAATGTTACTTCACAAAAGTGGAGGAAGGTCGAGCGAGGAGTTACCATTGACATCTAATCAAGGGAGAATTGTTGAGTTGACAAATTTAGAGACAACAATCGTGGGCGATGCAATTAACGACGATCCTTTGTTGTCCACAAGCATAACACTGCAGTAAGCACCATTATAATGTACAATTTCGCGTTTATTATTTGTCTTACTTATGTTTAGAAGCCCTACTATGATGGACTGCTTGGCTGAGGATCCTATTCCAACGTGATTTTCAATTTTTTTCTTTATTTTTGTGAATGCAATTAAGAGAGTTATGGTTACAGGTCAATCTCAAAGAAGCAACTGGAGGTAATGCTGAGTTTCATCTCAGACCACCCGAAAATGGCCCGAAATTTCAACCAATGTACTGCCCAGGAACGTCAAAATCTGAATAGATTGTGGGATGAGCTAAGCACGGACCTAAATGCAATGGGTTTGCCGAATAAAAGTTCAACGGGGTGGAGAAAAGCAAGTTTACAAAAATTATGTTATCCTTTTTATTTACATTAATTTGTTTGATTTATATTTTCCTTTTTAGGTTTGGGCAGAACAAAAGTACAAGACAAAAAAAAAATTGAGGACCCACAGAATGTCCTATCAAAAAACCGGGGAGATAACACTGACACCCAATCAAGAGCTAATTGTTGAACTGGCAAATTTGGAGACAGCAATCAGTGGCGATCCAAGTAAAACTTTTGAAGACGACACATTGCCGTCTACAAGTGGAACACTGAGGTGAACACAATTATAATGTACCGTTTTGGTTAATTTCATGATTATTTTATATGCTTTCAGAAGCGCTAACATGATGGATTCCTCGGGCGAGGACGACATTCCAACTCCTCCAAGAAAGAAGCGAAAGTAAGTGTACATTATTAATTTTTATTTCTATTGTCAGAATAATTATTCTTCGCCAGGTGGGCATCCCATAATGAAATGGCAGAAAAGATTAATACACGCTCTGATATCTTGGATTTGCTTCGGGAGCACATCAAAGGTGAACAAGAATACAAGAAGAAAAAATTGCGACAACAAGAAAAAATAGCGCAGCTATTAAGGGAGAGAAACGAGGAGGAGAGGTCGTTCCACTCTAGCATGTTAAAGTTGATCAAAGAGAAAAACGGTCTCCTTCGACAAATACCACGCGAATTCGAAAGTGAAGAGGATTAATACAAAGTTAATTTTATTTATTTCCTGTCCTCACTGCTTATTGAAAAAATTTGAACATTGAGTTTCGTGTCGTTACATTTTTATATATATATAATAAATAAGAATATAAATTGTAAGCGGTGGTATTGTATTATCGCTTATTTGGTCACTCATACGCCTTTATTGGAAGACTTCTACGGAAATTTCAGCCACATCATCCAAATAAATAGCGCGTCCTGAAGAATTGAAGTCTTCGCTGCCCCAACTTTCTATTCTAGGCAAATGCAACTGTACAATATCGAAGTTTTGTTTTCATCGTTTTCTACGAAAAAGTTTTTAAACTGACGAAATACGCATTGCCCGAACGTTTTGCAGCTGAATTGTTCGACTGTAACTTTACACCGGCAAAAGATATTTTAGAAATTGGCTCTAGGCTAATGCAGATCCGTATCGTACACAAAAAAAAAGAAGCAATTACTATAAGGAAAGGGGCTATTTTTAGCTGTGCGTTCGACAAAAAATTATGAATACGAAAAGCGGACGTGTTTAGCTTGGCTATGTTTTCCAAATGTATATTACGCCGTCTGAAAAATATTGAGCGCTTAGCTAATCATTTTTCTATTATTAACAGCAAGTTTCCCTTAACAACACTTCATAAGTAGCATAAACAACAAGAATTAAAAAAGATGATTTTTCTCTTTTTTTAAAGGTGTAGCTACGAATCTAAAATATTTATATTCCATGTTAATCATCAAAGCAGAAAAACTTTTTCTTTCTTTAACACTGTAAATGCGAATCTTGTCATTTTTCTTTGATTACATCAGCTTTACATTTTTTAAAAATAAATGCAACATTAGCCTTTAAATAAATCAGTGCATACATCCACATTATATCTAGTCTTCGAATGGGTGTGATTGAATTTCTTTTCAATTGGGTCATCAAACATGTCCGCTATCACTTGAAAATGTTTGAGTGGTACAAACATGAAGTCTTCGAAATTATTCCACTGCCTACGAAGAAGACAAACATTACTTCGATTCTTCACAAATGCAAGTAGTAGTAGATATTTCAAAAAGTTTTGATACGTTCATATTTATGTAAGACTCACTTATTTTGAAGTGTTTAAGACTGTTTAATAATGTTGACTTGTAAATTTCTTTTGACTTCTTCAAATTAAATTCTACGAAATAAAACATATTTGTGTTTATCATTCCAACTCTCAAAGATATGCAAATCAACTTTCTCTCTATTCGCTCCTTATTCTTAAATTCTTACCTTAATTGGTAAATTGTGAAAAATTGCATATGAGCACAGCTTCATGACACCAGGCATTTAAATTATACAGAAATATCCACTATCCTACACAGCATTGTTATCGAAAAGAAAAGCGCGTTGCGCGGAAATTGCTCGGCAAAAATAAAAGAGTTGTAGATATCTAATCAATTTTTGTATTATGTTGACTTTATTCGTTCAATAATTCATTCGTTAATTAACTAACTAATTTATTCATTTACTTACGCATGCACTCATTTGTTCACGCATTCACTCGTGCATTCACTCATTCATTTATGTATTCCTTCCTATCTTCATTCATTCATTTACTCATTCCTGCCTACATTCTATCTTTCATTCATTTATTCATTCCCTCATTCATTCATTTATTTATTCATTAATTCAATAAAATTAGATGCCAATATTTTCAAGGAGATACACATATAACATTTGCTTTATCCATCTGAGTGGCCGAGTAGGCAAGAGTCTCGACTAGCAACTCAATAGTCGTGGGTTCAAACCTCAAGTGCGGTAGAGTTTTTTAATAAAAGCCGATAGCCCTAGCATCTAGCTAGTGCTTTAAGACTTTAGTCTTAGAATTTATTCTCTGGCTAAATTTATAATAATAATAATAATAATAACATTTGCTAGAAACTAAAGAGACACCGAAAGAATTTCTAGGCAAACTATACGATTTTTAGATGAGTCTCGTTTTCAATACATGAAATATATATCCTTTTCAATACAATATATATAAATTATGTAAATTAATTTTATACTCACTTTTAATTTGTTCAATTTCTTCAATTTAGAGAATTTTACTTAAACTATTTTTTATGTTTTCAGTATTTTTAACAAATTTTTTCAATTTAGGGATTCAAAATATTTTTTGATTTTTTCTAATTTTGCTCCGTATTTCAATATTGTATGAACTTCTTTATCAATTCGTAAGAATATGTATGCTTCTACAGAAAACCGTTAGCTGTTTTTTTTCCTTTACAAAGCTTATAAAAAAAAGTACCATATGTTGAGAATAGAGAGAGAACAGAGTTGCTTTCAATAAATGGCAACGCTTTCAATGCACAAGAACAAAAAAAGAATACGAAATAATCACATGTTCCTGGTTTGAGAGTTAAGGTGTTATTTAAGCTTAGAGGATAAAATCATAAAACTCAAAACATAAGAAAAAATGCGCAAGAATCTAATGTTTGAGAAAAGGACCTTCGCAAGAAAATCAAAAAACAAAAGGGTAAAGTTCGACATTTTTAATTAACTGCCGCTTTAGTATAAATTTATTATTGGTTTAATCGTAACATTTTAAAAGAAGATTGAACTAAATTAAATTTTCAATTTTGTTTCTTGATTAATTAATTTGAATTCAACGTACATATGACGTATCCAATCCGAAGTATATCTCTATAAAGATAAGGTTCCTTTAATGTAATTATTTATTTTTATTGCTTTGAGAGCAGATATTGATAAATTTCAATCTGTAGAAAGCCACAAAGAGGGTGACTACGTTACGCAATGATTGCACCAATGCTCTCCTTGTTTTAATGAGATTCATTATTACATGCAAAATATAAGTTAATATAAGTAAATTAAGACAAACTTCATGCTCATTGCGCACATGATTTTTATTTAATATCCAATACATTTTTTTTTACCCTTTGGAGCATTTCGTTGTTTGAATTGAATATTTGTTTATGGCATTATTTATATATGAATTAGCGTGAATCATATCGCATCCAAGTGGAAGGGGACGAGTTTACAGAAACACGCTTCCAAGCATTTGACGTTTCGCCTCGTTTTCTTAATCCTTTTGGCATTCTGTCTATATACCGTCTATGTCAAACTTTACAAATTTCAGTAAATCTTACCTCTAGGTTTTTAATTTTTCAAGCGCATTCTCCCATCTTTTGGGTACACTACTGCCAGATGTACGTAGGTGACACCGAGACCACATATGAAAGTGATGTGCTTATATATTGTATGATTCGATAAATAATCGCCCAAATCGACACATCTTGACATCTAGTGCCAGCCTGTGCCCGGAGCGGACCTCTCTACAGTTAGCACACCTATATTATACTCTTGAGGAAAAGTCATAAAGTTATAGGCAAAACTAAGGAAATTGTTTGTAATTTTTTTTATTTTCTCGTAGATTTAAATGAATTTATTTTCACGTTTTAACTTCATTTGATTTTTAATATAAATAAAAAAATTAAAATTACGTAACCTTAAAAATATTAAAGACTCACCAGATCACAAATCTTATTTAAAGTTTATTCATTCGATTATTATTGTTATCTATTATTATATGTCAAGAATAATTTAGAAATTGTTCCAAGGGACAATTTTCAATCACAATACCATCACTATGCCGGCTAAATTATTAATTAATTAATTAACGAAATTATCAATATCTATATATATATATATATATATATATATACATATATATTTATATAATTTTGTTTAATAATATTTGATACTGTTGCCTGGGCTAATTTAATTGAACCTAACACCTCCCCTTTATTCGTATAATATACGTATAAACTTCACAGCTTCGCAGGGAGAGCCGTAATTAAATTATAAAAATTCTGATTGAGGAACTAAAGCCTGTATGACTTTTTTGAAATAGTACAAATTATTTGTACCTTCCATAGCACCCGTAACCAATGTTTTGTGCACAGATCCAAGCACCTTTCGACAATAACAAAACGAGTTTTTACTGCCGTATTGAAAAAACATATATATTACTATTTTTTTTTTTACTATTGCGTTGTAATTTTGCAATGGAGGCTATATATATCTAGCGCCCCATCCTCTCGTTTGTAAGAAGCAGTAACTTCCGCATCACATCGATCGATGTCGTTAAAAGTAAATAATTTGCTCCAGCCAAATAACGAGTGTAAGGTGAATTCAACTAATCCTATCTCCGTGTAATCTACAACTTTGGTAGCCAGTAAATAACTTATAGGAAATCTTGTGCAGTTTATCATTTTTGTCTATAAGACATTTTTTTTTTTTTTGAATCAGCAAATATGTCTTTAATTTCGTACGTAAAATGCTCGGTATTTTATCTGCATTTTAACAATTTTTAATTCAATTTGGAAATCTCTCGGCTGTTTTAAACATTTTTTGGAAATTCCCGGTATCAATTTTTCTATCTGCAGAACATATGACTCACGTGTCCGCGGCTATTCTAGATACCTCTCAACATTTGTTGATATTGTTAGCAACTGGAAATGTTACAATGGAAAAACTTTTGGACTATTTTCAATAAATATTCATTGTACCTTATCAGAGAGTTAAGAAAATGTCGCGATAGAAACTCCGATCCAATTGTAGTGGAATTTAAGACATCTTAATGTCTAAATTTTGCATATATGAAAAAAGGCGGCCAGAAATAATGATTTAAAAAACTATTGGCCTATGAAAAAAAAAAAAGGAACTCTCGTGCAGTTATTAAAAAAAATGTAACCAATAAGCTGCACCCAATAATAATCTACAATAAGGCAAATGTCAAAATGTTATGCAGAGATAAACACAGTAGTTCAATTACTGCACCTGTTAAAATATTTTCAAGCTTCATGCTAAATATAATGTAACTATAACTGATTTAATTTTATAAATTTCAACACTCGATCGATGTCTTTTAAAGATCGAAACAAATAATTATCCGCTACCATAATTAAAATATTTTTTAGAAAAATCAGTTAAACCAAATTTACACTCCTACGAATTCTGATTTAATCTCAAAGTGTGAAAAAGGAGGTTTTTTGATCGTTTACAAGTATGGCAATGAAACTTTAAAAATTTATTTAAAAAGATTTTTGTTATATAAAATTGATAGAATTGTAAAAGTTGAGACTGTCGATTGCGATCTGTTTTGCAATAAAAACTGTAGAAGAACATGAATCTAATCTATTTTTCTTTTTCTTTTTATTCAAGAGACGAAGACAAAAAAATTAAATAAAAACTCCAATGTGATAATAATATTTTTAAACATATCTTGATCCTTGTAGTTTCTTAAAAGTTCAATCTTATTTTTTAAATTTTTTCTTTTACACCGAATATTCAAAAATATAATTTTACCAAATTTTGTTTTGTACTAACTTTGACAACTCCTTAATAATCATACTTTTTTTTTTTAGTTTTTTCTCTTTGTTTTCAATACAAACTTTCTTTTTTAAATGAATTTCTGTAAAATTAAGACTATTCTTCAAATTTTTGTTTTTTTTTTTTCTTTTTCTCTTTATTTATTTATACATCTTTCCAATTAATGTAAATTTTTTTTATTACCATTATTTATAATAGATACGTTGTTGTTTGTTTTTTAAACAAAAACCTTCATTTTCTTTAACTTGCAAGAAACAACTCATAAAATTTAAAAAAAACGGAAGAATAACAGAAAACGACTAATTCTAGTCCTGCATTAATAATATTTAGTAAATGTTTTTTTTTTTTTTTTTTTTTTTTTTAATGAATGAATAAGGCTGCGATGGGCACTATCGAATAAACTTATTGTAATAAACTGAACGAGCATAAGTATAATACATTACATAGTCCAAAAAAAAAAAAAAAAAATTAAAAAAAAATTGTACGAAGGTATTTGGCGACAAATTAATTTTGTTCTAATTGTAAAAGATTTACGATTTAAGCACCTCACCCAAAAATTATGAGTTATTGAATTATTTTATATAGGGAGAGAATATTTGCACCATCTTGCATAGGGATAGAAGAATAATATTGAACAAATTGAAAGCTACGAATACGTACTTGCTGTATGTCAACAGCGCTTTCGTTTTATTCAAAATCTCTCGAGACAAATTAGAAAATTTTGTGAAAACTTCTGCAATTATTCTATACGATTAACTACTAAGTCTGCGCGAAATTCTCTCCCTTTTTCATTTATTTACAATCTTTTACATGACGTTTCCAATATAATAAATTCTATAATATCCAATATTATAGAGCCAATGGTCACGTACTTCTTTGTTTGTACCTTCATATGTTTTAAAAAAGTTATTGCTCTCACGTTGTCAGCAAGAATATACATTGAATATGTCCTTACATTTACACAAATTCAGATATTCTTTTATTTTTTTTTTCATTCTTTAAATTAATTCAATAAATTTTTCAATTATTTACTAATTAAATTCAATTATTAATTGATATAACTAAATCATCATCAAATTTATTTCTTTTTGATAATATTATTATTATTCCAAAATCCAATTAGATAATTGTTGCATCATTTAAAAATTCGTATTAGCGCGAATAATTGAAAGAAACCTATATTCTAGCAAATAAAGTAATTCGAACAAAACGAATAGTTTCCAACGAGTAAGTATAATCGTCAAATTTCTATTTGTTGACTATTATTCGATAGTGCTCATCGCTTAACTAAACTAAGGTTGGTTAAATTTGAGAACAAAGAAGAAGCACAAAACAAAATTCATTTTTCATTACTTTCACAGTGTAGAAGAGGAAGGCAAAGTCAATGTATGGGGGGGATAATTATAGAGAATGGTCATCATTACACAAAAATGTTTAATTCTACAACTAAAACTTAGATAAAACTGCTGTTGATTGGTTCCTTAATTTTGTGTTGCTTTTACTAATTAAAAAAAAAAGAAGGACTTTATCCTGTTTAAGCAGCGATTAACTGAAAGAAAATAGAGAAGTTTTTGTTAAGAAAAAACAATCATTTTAGATATAAAAAAAACAAATTCCGAACTAATACCGCTTTGACTGTGGCTTTAATGAAATCCTTTTTCTCTGTTAGATCAAAATCAGGATACTTAGCATAGACTTGTTTGCAAACCGTTTTCATGGTAATTTCCTCGAGATTGGCTTTATCTAAAATTTCTTTTACATATGCTCGGATTTGTTCGTCCTAAAATAAGAATCAATTTGAATTTTATTATACATCGAGATATGCATACGTTTTTTGAAAAATACCGTGGGGAATGAAGCTTTGCCTTTTTTATTGAGCGGTTCATCTTCATCATCGCTATCATCTTTACCATCATCTTCATTCGAAGATTCTTTTTTGGACTTTTTAGGACGACCAGCAGCTGCGAAAATATAAATTTCATTAATTGAAATACGGATAAGTAAGAAGATATATATTTCTTACCTGTGTTTTTGCCTTTGGCTGGTGTTTTGTTTTTATTATTTGCTTTGTTATTCTTCGCAGGTGTATGTGATTTTTTATTCTTTTTTGATTTTTCTTCTTCCTGCAACAATCAAACATGAATATTAATTAATATCATTTTCGTAACATTACAGGACGAACATACTTCACTTTGCTCGCTTGCCAACTCAGACATTTCTTCCTCATCCTCGTCCTCAGATATTTCTTCCTCATCCTCGCTTTCAGAATCTTTGCGTTTACGTGATGAAGCACCAGCACTTCCACGTCCTCCTCTCCCACGGCTAGCAGACGGTCGACCGCGTTTCGTAGTCGTAGAAGCACGTTGTTTACGCTTCGGCACCTGCATATTATATACAATACAAAATATTAAATATAATTTTTCTAAGAAGAAAAATCGAATTTCAATTTACATCGCTCTCAGCTTCTGATACTGATTCTTCTTCCGAATCAGTGTTTCTTCTTCGACTTTTGCGGGCTGGACGACCGCGGCTGGCCCGAGCTGCTGCTGCTTTCCGTCCCCTACCACCATCCGAGTCAGAATTTCCCGAAGGATTGTACTGTAAAAGGAACTTGTTTTAATTGTAAAACCCGAATTTATAAGAATCGAACATTAAAATGAAACATCAAAAATAACAAATTAAATCCCTTCCGATATCAGTCTTTGTAACTTTGCAATTTTTGTTAATTGGCTAAAAGCATAAGATCGCCCCTATGTTCATAAGCAATATTTTCCGTATCGGATAAAAAGATTGCCTATCAAGAAATCCTAACCAAGGAAGGGACTATATAAACTGCTTTTTAAAGTATTATCGTTTATCTCAGGTAATATTAAGTTCAAATTCGAATATGCACAAAACCTACTGCCCTACAGGGACTTGTATAATTTAAGAAAATTTCGTTCATAAAATCGTCCCAATACTAAGTAAGCATTTAAAATACATACCATAAATTCGGTCTTGCATAATGGCGATACATAGTTACGGACGCTAAACCCGAAGTATAATATTGTCCAGGAAATCAAAATTTATTCATATATATTTACTTTCTTTGTTTCTACTTGTTTGATAAGACCCACAATATTTGCCATAATAAACTTTAAAAGCAACTTACATCTGAGCCCGATTCAGATTCCTCATTTCGTCTGCGTTTGGCCGGGGCTACTTTATGATCGCTTTCTTCCGAACTTGAGAAATCCACATAAGCGGACATTTCTAAATTGAAACCATAATTAGAATAAATTCCTTTCATAAAAAATGAAAATTTACTTTTGCCAGCTGTAGAACGGCGTGGACGTCCCGAGCCCGAACGACCGCGTGGTGGCGGCGCTTTTGTTTTTCGTTTTTCTCCTTCACTTGGTTCTTCTTCCTGCTCTTCGAGCCCGCCATCATCTTCTTCCATGTCTTCGTCATCTTCTTCAGCCGGTTCAACACACAACGCTTCGTCAGGCTCCATCAGGAAATTCAAAACTCGATTTGCTATTTCTTCCTTTGAACCTTATAATAATGAAAAAACAAAAAAACGCATTCTGAGGGGCGTTAAAAAAATATGCAAAAAGATTTTGATTACCTTTCCTTTCCAATGATAGTATATCACAAATATTTTTCAATGCTTTAATATCCACTTTTTTAATAGCTTCCAGTTTCTTTTTATATTCAGTGGAATCTTTTTCAAATTCAAAGCCGGCAAAGGAACGCAAATTCTTCTTGACCACATTGTTTTTACCTTGTGAACCGAAACAAATCTAAAAAATGAGTGAAATAAAATTGCTATTCA